GCAAGCGGAGCCAATTGAGCTTTAAAAAAGATAAAATAAACATACCACAGCACTAAAGTGCTTAAAAAAGAAGCAAACACTTGTAAGCAAGGCACTAAAGTGCAACAAAGAAAGACAAAGCTCAATTGGAGGTTGGAGACAACATCTACACACCAAGCACCCGCAAGACGAGTAAAGCATTTTCGTTAAATCGCTGTGAGTATTCTTCTTTGGTAATTTTGCTTACATAACTTAGTGCACAGAGTCGGAACTTAGTGTGTGTGAGTGAGTAGTGTATGCACGGGCACCGTTCTTGTCGCCCTGAATTGTGGAGTTTGGACCTTGAACTAGAAAGGACTCTTAGGAAACTTAGAGCCTCTGCCCGTGTTCCTAGGCTTGAATATTCATATCCATACATTGAACCAATAGAGATGAAAAACCTAAATGGCCTAAATGGGCCCAACCAGACCCTTAAGGATTACTTCACATCCACTGCATACACATCACCATCATGTATCCAACTAGCAGACACCACTGCTGCTCATTATGAGATTAAGTCCAGCACTAAACAAATGCTCCCATCATTCCATGGACTAGCTCATGATGATCCTTATAAACATTTGAATGAATTTCTGGAAATTTACTCTATAGTAAGGATCTAGAATCTCACAAATGAGGCCTTAATGTTGCGATTATTCCCATTCTCATTAAAGGACAAAGCCAAACACTGGTTGAACACCTTACTTGCTAATTCTATCACAATTTGGGACCAATAACAACAAAATTTTTTGGAGAAGTACTTTCCCATTGGAAAAACCAACCAACTTAGGTAAGCCATCACCAATTTTGCTTAAATTGATGACGAGCAATTTCATGAGATATGGGAGAGACTTCGTGACCTTCTCCAACAGTGTCCCCACCACCAAGTGCTTGATGGGCAACTTGTTCAAATATTTTACTATGGCTTAATTGAGCCTCACATCCAAATGGTGGATTCATCCTGTGGTGGGACATTTATGTCCAAAAATGACTCCGAGGCATGGCAATTATTTGAGAACTTAAGTGATAATTCCCTTCACCATGCCTCCGCAGCCCGGCAAGTTCGACAATTAGTAGTTGGAGCCCCGAAAAGAGGGGGCATTTATGAGGTGGGGCAAACCTAGAGTTAGCCCAACAAGTAGAGGCACTGTCCCACAAAATGGACCAATTATTAGTTACGGGACATGCCCCTACACAGCAAGATCAATCTCAATTTCACGAGGCGTGTGCTATTTGTGCGAGCCCTGCTCATGACTTGAGTGAGTGCCCTTCGGCATCACAATTTCTGTAGTTAGTCTAAAAGCATGTGAATGCGGCTCAAGAATTCTCCAACCCGGGTAATGACCCATACTCCAGCACATACAATCGGGGATGGAGAAATCACCCTTAATTTTCATGGAGACCTCCTTCACAAGGCACTTTTTATAACCTTCTACCACGGGACATGCCCCTATGTATGCAAAAGTGTAAATCTATGACACATGTGTCCCAAAAGGTCATACTCACGAAGCAAGTAAGCTCCATTTTGTTGAATGGCACTCCCCCTGAGCTTAAAGACCCAGGTGCCCCAATCATTGCATGCATTATAGGAGACCATTTCATTAATAGGGCCTTGTTAGATTTAGGGGCTAGTGTCAATTTGTTGCTGTACTTTGTGTATGAGGAATTTGGGCTTGGTGAGTTGAAGCCCACTACTATTACTCTCCAGTTGGCTGACTGGTCCCTCAGAGTGCCACGTGGCATGATTGAGGATGTGCTAGTAAAGGTTGATAGGTTTTACTTTCCTGTTGACTTTTTGATGTTAGATATGGAACCGGTAGCCAGTTCTAGGGAACAAATTCCGGTGATCTTAGGTCGACCTTTCTTAGCCACAGCCAATACATGCATAAATTGTCGTACAGGGATTATGGAAGTTTCATTTGGAAATATGCAAATGAAACTTAATAAGCATCCCAACAACCCCATGAGAGATTTGGCTTTGGATAGACATATTGGATATGAGAATTTGTTTCTAGGTTACAATTTTCAAGCTACTTACAAATATCGCTATATCATGGAGATTTATTAAGAATTTTTTTTTTTTAAATACTTGTATCTTAATTAGTAACTTGTATATTTTTATATTTTAATAAATTCTATTATTTAGACATTTGATCATTAAATCTTAATTATTATATTAAAAACATTTTATGAATAATTTTATTTTTGTAAATATTTTTTGAACAGTTAGCAATTTTTATCTTTATAAATAAATTTTGAACAGTTAGCAACTTAATGATGTGAATATTTATATTCTTACAATATGAATTTTTATGTTGACATGTGAATATTTACATTGACGGTGTGAACATTTACATTGATAATGTGAATATTCACTTTATAGAAACATTCACACTATCAATATGAATATTATTATTTGGAATATTTTGATAATTATATTATTTATAAGACTTATTAGAATATAAAAAAATAATTTAAATTAAACGAAATAGATAAAAAGAAATTTATAAATAAGTGCCCTGCCTATCAATTATTTTTACCAAACTTGAGTGGTTTAAAATTCTTGTTTCTAGTGAGTGCCATTTTCAACTCATTTTGTAAAACCCATGTAATATTTTGTGAAGTCTGTTTTCCATTGAACTTGTTTTAAACTAAATTGATGATGCCTAGTCCTCCAGATCAACCAAGATTGGGTTGGGCCTTGCTTAGGCCTTTTGATTGGCCTCTGTTTGATTTCTTCAAACTCGATACAGCTAAGCCCAAACCCACAGTGAAGGGCAGTTACGGATTGGGACTTAAACCAAACCATGCCTTAACCCCTTTAAATGAAATCGACTATATGAATAATTCTTCTCTACTTGACTTTATCAATAGCTATTTGGTTATGTAAATTAAGAAGATTTATATTTCTATTTATTACACTAGTTCACGTCAATTTAAGTCTGCTCTTTACCTTAATACTTCATCTATCGTTAACGTATCGCATCTATTTGTAATTGTTCCAAATTTTTAGTGATAAATTTATTGTTGTATATTTTAATAAAACAATAATTTAGCTACTTATACTTTAATAATACATCATAAAATTAATATATAAAAATAAATAAATGATTATAAATAAAAGTAAAAAATGTCATACATTACTTTTATAAATTCCTTAATATTGTTACTAGTACCAAAGCACAAATAATAATAATAATAATAATAATAATAAATAAATAAATAAATAAACTTGTATTTTTTAAAAAAAATTATCTCATTATCAAAACAGGCAAATATGTAATTTTTTTTACTTAGTACTTGCCAACAATAAGTCCGATTCATAAGATTGCTAAAAATTATCTTTAAAATGAATTAATTGACTAATTGAAATTTTGTCTTGGAATAATTCATAAGGTATAAAATAAGTAAAATTTGAATATATTTTAAAATATAAAAAAAAAAAAAAGGAAAATTTATCCATAAGTCCTAGTTTTTGAAACGTTGAACCATTTAGTCCTAAAAGTTTTCTTATGCTCCATTTAGTCCCATTTTTACATCAACATGATGTGAATGATGTAAATGATCTGATATTTCATTCTATAATTTCAAAATTTATTGAAATCTGATGAACATTAGATGTTTTTCATTCTATATTTTCAAACATTATTAAAATTTGATGAACATTAGATGTTTGAAATCCAATGTTTGTAACATGACTATGATGTTATTAACATTGTATCTGATGTTATTAACATTGTAATGGGACCTTTCAGTCTATAAGAAAACTTTTAGGACTAAACAGTACATAAGTTATTAATTTAGGATTTATTGGTGCATCTCCCTAAAAAAAACTTAATAATAATTAATCAAAATGGTAAAGATTTAATAATAAGATCGAGCAAAAAATATAAGCAAATTAATAATTAATTATAAAAATAAAAATAAAATTTAATTTAATTATATACATTATGAAAAAAAGTTTAATTTGAGTTCCACCCCCAAAAAATAAGTAATTTAAATTAAAATCCATCAGGTAGGTTTCTGCCACGTTCGCGATTTCACGAAAACCCAAAATCACAACAGGCCAAAATCATGGGTTATGCTGGAGAAATAATTTGCTAAATTTTTTTATCAAACACATGATAATAAGCAAATTAATAATTAATTATAAAAATAAAAATAAAATTTAATTTAATTATATACATTATGAAAAAAAGTTTAATTTGAGTTCCACCCCCAAAAAATAAGTAATTTAAATTAAAATCCATCAGGTAGGTTTCTGCCACGTTCGCGATTTCACGAAAGCCCAAAATCACAACAGGCCAAAATCATGGGTTATGCTGGAGAAATAATTTGCTAAATTTTTTATCAAACACATGATATGAAACCTGCACATGTAAATTTGTATGGCTCTTCCACTAACACAGTGTTTGGGAAGTTAAGAGAAAAAAAAATGAAATGATTACTTAAGTAATAAGAGAAAATAATAGAAATGAAATAATTGTAATTTCTCTCATTTTTGTTTGGATAAGAAAGAAATAAAAGAAATGAAATGACTATGATTTCTCTCATTCTTTCATTAACAGAAAAGAAAAGAAAAGAAAAGAAAAGAAATTATTTTATGTTATATTATCAAAATAACTTTTATATATTTTCAATTAGTGTATTTCTTTTATTTTTTAAGGACAAAATTGGTATTATGAAAATAGTGATTTCTTTTCTCTCCAAATCTCTCTACTTTTAAGAAGATTGAAAATGAGATGAGTTTCTCTCTATTTCTCTCAATTTTTTTTCATTTCTCTCCATTTAAATTATTCAAACAAATAAAAAATATATATATCTTTTCATTTCATTTCATTTTTTTTTTTTCCTTTTCATTTCATTTCATTTTGGGTTCCAAATCACTCAGTCCAAGCATAGTCATTTGGTCCATTTTCACAAATCACATGAAATTAAACGCATGATTAGCACGTGGAGGGTTGACTCATCCACATCTTTTCCATTTCATTGCCATTGCACGACACGTGTCCCAACTCAACGGCATCCATATGTATAAGGGCAAGGAAATCGCATCAATCAATCATCGTCGATTAACAAGTTAAGTGCGTGAATTCACCAATGGGTACTGCACGAACTGTAGGAATTGTTGCGATCTTCTACAATGACGAACCCTAAGGTCTTCTTCGACATGTCGGCCGGCGGCGAACACGCCGGTCGAATCGTGATGGAGCTATTCACCGATACGACGCCGCGCACGGCTGAAAACTTCCGAGCTCTCTGCACCGGCGAGAAAGGAACCGGACGGAGCGGCAAGCCACTTCACTACAAGGGGTCGTCATTCCACCGAGTTATCCCGGGGTTCATGTGCCAGGGCGGCGATTTCACTGCAGGGAACGGAACCGGAGGGGAATCGATCAACGGATCGAAGTTTGCCGACGAGAATTTCATCGAGAAGCACACCGGACCGGGCATTCTCTCCATGGCGAACGCTGGACCGGGAACGAACGGTTCGCAGTTCTTCGTATGCACGGCGAAGACGGAGTGGCTCGATGGAAAGCACGTGGTGTTCGGGCAGGTGGTGGAGGGAATGGACGTGGTGAAGGCGATTGAGAAGGTCGGATCTTCGAGTGGAACGACGGCCAAGCCTGTTGTGGTCACTGATTGTGGTCAGATTTCTTGAATTAGGGTTTAGTTTTTTCTATTTTGATTTTTGAGTTTCGTTCAGTCTCAATCCATGGGAAGTGAATTTTTTTTTTTCCAACCCCCCCCGGGGGGTGAATTTGATGATCTAGTGGAGGTTCGGATGGTGAGAAGATATGGAGCGATAATTAAGCTGTAAAATAAAAGACTTATTTTTAACGGAAATTTGCTTTATAATATGAAAAATGCTAGCACTCATGGCCACACTGTTTGGTACCTTTTTTTTTGGTAGTAAAAAATTTGGTGTCTCTAGGTTTTTTATATAAAATATAATAAAGTGTATCTTATGCATATTTGCTAGGAGTAGGCTGATTAACGAGTCATACGAGCTGAGTTAATTTTTTGGACTTAAGAGTAAGTTTTAAAAATTTGTTCAAATCATTAAGGGTATGTTTGGTTTGTGTTTGAGAGATGTGTTTTAGAGATAAAAATTATATAAAATATAATAAAGTGTATCTTATGCATATTTGCTAGGAGTAGGCTGATTAACGAGTCATACGAGCTGAGTTAATTTTTTGGACTTAAGAGTAAGTTTTAAAAATTTGTTCAAATCATTAAATTTCTAGTCATTCTCAAACGAATTTTGTGTGAAGCTTAAATAATTTAATATTTTTATATAATTTTAGATTTATTGAATCAATTTAGAGAAATTATTTGTTTGAGTTTGAAAATTTTAACAAGTTTTATTTAACAAAATAGATGAAAATAAATTTTTAACCAGACGAACATGAATTTAGGTGAACTTCTTCAGGTGTTTTAAACAAGTTATTTTAATAATTTTTTTATTTTTTACGAAAAGATATGTAAAAAGATAAAGAGTGATGTGACAGTAATGTGATAATTTATAATTAATTTTTGATTAAAATGTGGAGTTGTTAAATGAAAGATTAGTTCATTTAAAAGTTTGAAAAAGTGAACAAAATTGATAAATGTATATAATTACCTTACATTTCTTCACACAATCACTCTCTAGTCCTAATATTAATAATCGGTTCATTTCTACCTTTTATTCATATTTTTACCATCTAAAAAAAAAAAAATCATAATTTGTTTCTTGTTACTTTTATTGTTTTCTATACTAATTTTTTGAAATATGATTTTCAATAGCATAATACATTTGATTAATTAGTAAGTCTTGTGTAATGATTTAAAATCAATAAATATTTTATTTGTTTGAAATTGATAAAATAAATAAATTCTTTTTTTTTATTTTTAATTTGTTCAACTTTTTGAAAAATTCACAATCCATCAAAGTGGATGATCTCTCCTTAAAAGGGGAAAACATGTGAGTTTACAGTCTCATACTTGCATATAGTGTTTGGGTGTGCAACTTAGGAGGGTAACGGTTTATCCGATTTGTAAAATTCTTCCGACTCGTATATAAATGGGCAATTTCGTAGACACAATGTGGATAGATACGGTTTGAAATATGACATATTTGCGATTTGCAGACGAGTTGTAGGTTTAACCCACATCCACAATAACCCGCTTGCACTTTATTTTTTTATTTATTTTTATTAATTTTAATCGTTGATTTCATTCCTATATTCTACCTAAATATTTTTGCCCAAAACCAAACACCTTTTATTCTTTGAACTTACTCTAGCATTACATTGCTAATAGTATTATATCAACTGAAACTAATAAATATTGATCATATTATTATTGTTTCATAACTAAACTTGTTTCGGATGAAGTGTGATTTGGAATTTTAAATTCCTTAATGAATATGGAGTTCTAGTTTAGGATTTTGAAATATGTGCTTGTGTTAGTTTATGATTTCATTTAGGATTTTGAATGATTTATTTGTGTTACGAATTGATTTTGTTGTGTTTTTAATTTTATAAGTTTTAATTCATTAATTATTAATGTTGAAGCATTTTAGAAAATTGTCCAAAATAAATATTTACAAAATGGAAAAAAAAAAAAGGCTCAAAAATAATTTTTTAAAGAAAAAAATTCAATCCGCAAACCGCACTACAGACAATTTAAATTCCTTAATGAATATGGAGTTCTAGTTTAGGATTTTGAAATATGTGCTTGTGTTAGTTTATGATTTGATTTAGGATTTTGAATGATTTGTTTGTGTTACGAATTGATTTTGTTGTGTTTTTAATTTTATAAGTTTTAATTCATTAATTATTAATGTTGAAGCATTTTAGAAAATGGGAAGAAAATGGTCCAAAATAAATATTTACAAAATGGAAAAAAAAAAAGGCTCAAAAATAATTTTTTAAAGAAGAAAATTCAATCCGCAAACCGCATTGTAGACGATTGTGGGTTAACTTTTTTTCAAATTACATACATGCAGACGGTCCAAACCGATTCGTAAACCGTCCAAATTCAAACCCTGGACCCTTAATGCAACCCACCCCTTCCCTCAAGGCGTTGTGCAAGGGGTGAGGGGTATGTAAATTTGTTTAAGTTTTCATAAAAAATAATATTTAAATTATTTTATAAAATTATGTAATTTATATATAAATTTGTATAAATTAACTTACAAAAAATTGGAAAATTATTACTTAGTGTAAATTATTACAAAAATACTTAATTTATTTCATAAAACGGTGTAATTTAAACATAAATTTATGTAAGTTAATTTATAAAAAATTTGAGAAATTATAACTTGATATAAATTATTTTATAAAATTGTGTAATTTAACACAAATTCGCATAAGTTAATTTATAAAATGTGCCATAAATTTTTATAAAAATGTATAATTTAAGTCACAAAAATATATAAGTAAATGGCATATTATATGCCTTGTACACTCAATAATTATCTATAAAAGAATTGTTCGGATCAAATTTTATTTTTTGGTGAAAAAAAATCTCATAGCTGAGTACGATTTTGCCTAAATTTCTATTGGGCCGATATATATATATATATATATCTATTTAAAATATTTTTAACAAATTCATTAAAATATTTATGTTTAAATATTATGAGAGGTTTAAATATTATTTTTTCACAATTAATATTATTTATATTTTTAATAAGATTGTTAGTATGGATAGAATTATATATATATATATATATATTGTCTAGAGTGTGAAGGAATATAGAATTTGATTTGAGTTTATTAATTTAAGAAATTGAAAATTTGAATAAAAATATTATTAATAAAATGCGAATTTTGTCATTTTTTTAATAATTCATATAACAGGCAATTGAAAATTGTAATTAATCAAATTTCTCTCGTATGAAAATATATTGAGAAAGTTTTGAAATTAAGAAATTTTTTATTTTTGTGAATATCAAGAAATTTCAAGAAATTTATTTTATTTTTACATAGTTTCATATTAATGAAGATGAATAGGTGCCATTTTTTTTTTGTTTATTATAAAGTTAAGTATAACATAAGTTTTGATGTTTTAAAATTTCAAACAAAAAAATATATAAATCATTGTCTTGTTTTAAAATTTCATATAAAATATAAAAGTCATGGTTGAGTCATCATGTTCATTAGGTAACAAGGGGTGTTTTGAAAAGATAGTTAAAACTTGAATTTTTATTTTTGTTTTTTTTAAATGTGTAAAAAAATAAGTGTGAGAGATGATGTGGCAAAAAACTGAATTAAAAATTAGAAGATGATTTTTACTCATCTTTTCAAAATAACCCAAAATACTCATCATTTATTGATCATTCAAATTAAGGATCTTGTTTTAAAATTTCAAATAAAAAATAAAAAAATCATCGCTAAGTCGTCACGTTCATTATGTAATAAAATGCCTATCGTTTACTGATTATTTAAATTAAAAATAGAGTGAATAATAATGAAATTGTATTTTATATAATTAAATGTATAATAAATTAAAGGGGTATTTTTTTTAAAGTCCCTGATATTATGATTTTATAGTATAAAGGACATCAAATATTTTCATGATGTCTAAGGTCCCTTAACAGGATCCAGAGAAATTTCAGTCACAGAGAAATTCTCTCCAGAGAAAATTGAAATCCAGAGAAATTTCAGTTCCAAAGAAATTCTCTCCAGAGAAAATTGAAATTTCTCTGAGTACCAAATAAATCCAGAGAAAATTGTGGAAAGGAAATTTGTATGGCTATCCAGGAAATTTCTTTGACTTCGCAAATTTCTCTGGCTCTATTAACTACAATTAAACCCATGTCTAACAAACCTACAAACCCACAAATTTCTCTGGTCCAAAACTAGAGAAATTTTCTCCAAACCAGACAAATCAGAGAAATTCTCTGGATTGAAACCAGAGAAATTCTCTGTATTTACAGTAAAGTTGTATTTTTATGAACAGAACTTGGTGATTGAGTTCAAAAACCAGAGAATTTCTCTGGTTTCAACCCAGAGCAAATTCAGTTAAAAAATCAAAGAATTTCTCTAGTTTCAACCAGAGGATCACTTTTCTCATTAATCTACACTTGGCTTCAATTTCTATTTTTGTGAACTTAAGAATATAGGATTCAGATCCTCCAGTACAACAGCACACCAACATTTCAATAGTCAATGTATTGCTTTTTGTCAAAACATAATTGGAAATGCTAAAAGAGAACAAATACACAGAACTGTACGTGTAACTTGGAACAAAGTAGAACCACACCAAGTACTTGACTCCATACGGGTATCCATCTTTATTGGAAGTTCATCAAACAAAATAATTACTGTGTTAGATATAAACTGTAATCTTCAACAAAGACGACTTCACCTAGAAGAATCTTCAGAAGTGAACTTAAGTGAAATACTATTGACGCAACCAGTGCCGATCAAAAATATCATAGAGTATAACCCAGTACCGTCGGAAGCGAACCTGGATCAACGCTGCACCAAAACACATGTCCGGAGCCGACGAAGTAGCTCGATGTCGCGGATCTTCAGTCCGGCGTAGGAGATGAAGATGAGCGCCTGGATCACGAGGGTTTCGGAGACGAAGATGTATGCGATTGCGATGAGAGGAAAGGAGAGAAGGAGAACGAGGCCGGGAATCTCCACTGGGTAAAGCTTTGGGAAGTATTGGAAGATGAGGAGGACTGAGAGTCGAGTTGTTGGGGATGGCAGTGGGTCAGATGATGAAGATAATATAAAGGACTGAATTT